TGGACTGGGTACAGAACCTGAGGAGGGTTGTCGTTCTGATCTTGGATATTTATTTTAACTGTGGTATTGCTGCTTAAAGGCGGGGAACCTCCATCCTGTCCTTTTACAAAAATATTTAGAGTTTTAAGTTGCTCATAGTCAAATGATCGAACTGCGTGTATAACTCCACTTTCTGCGTTAACAGATATGTAAGTGGATATTGGGTTACCGTTTATCTGATTATCAATAAGCAGGTAAGACACTCGTGCGTTTTGCCCCGAATCAGAGTCGTGTGCTTTAACGGAAAATACAGATAATCCTGGGGCGTTATTCTCCATGACATTAGCTTCATAATAACTCTGTTCAAACATGGGGGCGTTATCATTTACGTCAGACACCCGAAGTGTTACTGTCTTGTTAGTCGACAGTAGTGGGCTACCTTCATCCATAGCCGTGAAAGTGATATTGTAATTGGGATTACGCTCTCTGTCAAGGACACCGTTTGTTACTAGAGTATAATAATTCTTTAGAGATGAGTGGATTGCAAACGGGATATTGCCGTTAACTGAGCACTCTACTTTGCCATTTTTGCCTGAATCTAGATCTTTGATGTTTATGATAGCCACAGTAGTTCCACTGGGAGAATCCTCAGCGATGGCACTCGAGAACGAGGTAACTGTTATTACAGGTGCATTGTCGTTTACATCCGTCACCTCAATTATAACATTTGTTGATGTGCTTTGTCCCCCTTGGTCTTTTGCTTGTACACCAATCTCATATATTTTATTCTCCTCATAATCAATCATACCGTTTACAGTTATATCGCCGCTGTTTTCATCTAGATTAAATAGTTCAGCAACATTACTAGACATGCGATTAAAGTGGTATGTGACACGGCCATTCATCCCTTCATCTGCATCGGTGGCGCTCAAGCTCACCACTAAGGTTCCTTTTGGAACATTTTCTTTAACAGACGCCTTGAAAATTGATTGAGTAAAAATTGGAGCGTTGTCATTTGTGTCTCGGACAGTTACATGGATTTTAAGTGTCCCTGATCTTTGGGGTTCACCACCGTCCACAGCAGTTAGCGTGAGAAGCATCTTTTCCTCTTTCTCGCGGTCTAAAGCAGTAGAAAGATACAACTGCGCATATTTATGACCATTTGGGCTGGACAGGACCTTAATATTAAAATGTGTTGTTGGGTGTAAAGTATAACTGTGTAAAGCGTTGATGCCAACATCCGGGTCGGTGGCACTCTCTTGTAATATTTCGGTTCCTGGGAGAGCAGACTCTAGTATGTCTACACGCACTTCTTTCTCATGAAACACGGGCGCATTATCATTAACATCCAACACTTCCACTACAACGCTGTGAAGTTGCATTGGATTCATCATAATCATTTCAAAATTCAAGCTACAGGGCGCTGACTGCCCGCAGAGCTGCTCTCTATCTATTCTTTCTCCCACGACAAGAATCCCTTTGTCTGCATCCAGCCTAATATACTCGCTGCTATCGCCGCTCACAATTCGGGCACCGCCTGTCATCAGTCTTTTAGCGTCGATGCCTAAATCTTCGACCACATTTCCTACAAATGAGCCCTTTCTCATCTCCTCCGGTACAGAGTAACGGATCTGACTGACTGTCGCATCAATGAGAAAAACAAGGATGAAGGCCCGTACTTGCCATGTAATCGTGGATTCACTGTTGATAAAAGGCATATTCCAGAAGCAATCCAACAAACTCCAAAGAAAAATATATTGCAAAAAATAGAGTCTATTACTCCGTATCGTCCTTCTGTTGATGAGTTTATAATCCACAGTGTGACAACGTATACATTAGAAGCCTATACAAATCATTGGTGAAAATGAAGACCGAAAGCCCTGCTCTCCGCGGTACACTAAGATAAGTACTGGAGGTGTAGCTGCATTTCAAAAGCTTTTATAAAGACCAATAGCGGCCCTTAGAGTCGGATATGAAAATAACAAGTGATGTCACTAAAGACAGGGAAAAACTATTTGAATATCAATTCGGAGTGTGTATGAGCCAGCTAAGATGCTTTTAGGAGTTCAATTTAATTAAAAGTGTGCATTTTTATGTTCGATTAAAATTGGAATTAAGATATGCAAAATGTATTTTAAGGGTTTTAAGTGTCAAGAAGAGATAAAGTGGGAGAGCAAAATGCATACAGCCAAAAGGCATGATTAGTGGAAACACTTACGATGTACTATTTAATTTTCATTATTTCCCTTCACAACGAAATAAAAGAGAAAAAACAAGCTGGAAGCAAAAAGTCCACAGACATTTTCGTTAACCGAAACAAAAAACTAAAAGCAGTACAAAAAACTTTAAAAGTTGGTAACATGTATCAGCAGAGGCTTTTTAGGGTGTGCATTTCCCTCACTAACTCGTTCTCATATCAGTAACTCAACAGAGAGGAGCTGTCCATCACTATTGGTGCTGAAGATGCCCTCTGAGCAGGCAGTGAGACAGTGAGTAATGAAGCCAAGAAATATCTTCAATCTAAAAAAATCCCTGTAACTATAGCGTGGAGATGTGTGAAAAGAATAATGGATCAAATAACCCACCTCTAAAGGAGAGTCTGGTTCATCCAGGATGCTCTTCTCACTCT